TCGTACACTCTGACGAATGTAAAAGCGCCAGATTCAGATGCAGCTTACGGACAAGAGTTCTGAAAACAGGTGTTCAGATCGGATGAACACGAGCGTAACACATAGTTATAAACTTGTTTCATATTTTTTGAATTAATATTTTTCACGCTTAATTTATATTTAAAATAAATTAAAACACATGCAAATAAATTAAAATAGGCCTAATAAGACAACAACGGGAAATGAGGCCGATACGTTATATGTCGCCTGCACACGCATTTATAAAAATTTCACTCACCTATTCGAAATGACTGTGTGATAAACGACACGTTGATCATACATTTTGAAACGGTATTTTGTGACGCATTTGTCACTGTTACAGAATCCTAAATAAATCAAGCTCCAGGATTCGAAGCCAAGACTCGCATTAATCAGGTAAATGACTATGGCCTTATTTATGTCTACAGGAGGCTCAGTTTGTTCTGTCTTCTCCTAAATAATTCAGAAGAAGAGATAAACAAGCAAACTAGTTTTGTACTCACCGAGTGATTGCTGACTCTGCTTTTAAATAAAGCAGCAGTTCCGAGGTTACTGTCAGCAAATCAGTTTTGTAACATTGCCGTAGATTCAGTAAAATTTCTCTACAGATTGCTGTTTAGTCGAATGTGTATTAATTTGAACTTCAGTAAAACATATATGTACCGAAAATTACTTTGAATATATTACCAGCTTAAATATTGAGATCGTAAATTTTACTTCAGGGTTTTTAGTTAAAACACGTTTAAATAACAATAACACATCCTATCAAAGCTATTTTAATTATAAACAATCTGTATTATTAGTACAATATAACTGGATGTGGACAACATCCCGTGTCACTTAAATTCACAACCGGTGATAAATTTCACGAAAATAAAAATCAATACAATCTATCTTAAAGTACATTTAAAACAATTTAATTACAGTTATTAAGTGCTTACGATTCATGATCATTCATGCAGCACGTAACGTAAACGCTACTTTGAATTTGTAATTCAAACAGATTCTTTACGTAATCAGAAAAATACTACAGACTCATCGATACCGTATTATCTCAGAGGAGATATTCAATTAAAATAGAGAGAGCGGGTAACATACGTGGGGAGGGGGAGGGTTGTAAGTCGTGGCTTACTTTATTACAGTGTCTTAGTTAACGCCATGTCAAGAAAAACTCCACTCACACACAGATTTAAACTTGCAACTACCAATAAAAATTGTACTAATGAAATTCAGCTTGGTGTCGAGATCGCCGATGTTGCGCAAAGTATGATAGAGAAAGTTTATTAATTTATTCTTATATATTTTCGAGGAAGAAAGTAATTTAGCGAGGTTATAAACTATATAAAAATCTCTAAAAAGGATTTTAATTTAATCGTGTCATGTCAGAGTTTGTTGGAATTAAGCTAGCCTCCTCCTTTTAAGGAATTTAAAACGCGTCACGGATTCAACAACCATTTTAAATAACTCACCTGAAATTTACACAGAAAACTGCACCGATTTTGAATACAGCTTGTCCGTACTGCTTTTATCTCACTGCTTTTGACAGCTACTCAGCCGACCAGAACAAATCCGTTCTTTTGCAGAAACAGAACCAGAACTGAGGCCCGGCGACCGGCTATCATGGTTTTCCTCAGTGTTCACAGACAACTGACGGGACAGTACCGTGAATTAGGCCGCGACTGCTTCCTTCCACATCCTTTCCAATTCATTATCATCCTCTTATTCGACGCTCTACAGTCTGCGTTTACAGAAGACCGAAGTTGTGGCACCTGGACTGTGGGTTCCTCTCGCTATAGTTATGCATTTCCTGAGTGCTAAATGAGAACGAGGGAGGAGTTGCTCCATTGTGACTCAGAAATGAATGAGAGGGTGTAGAAAACGCGTTTGCTTGGGGGCGCTTGAAGGATGGGCTATGTGGGATTGTTTGTTCGCGGTTGTGATGCCTGAGAAAGGAAGAAATAGGGGAAGGAGACGGATGAGTGTGGTCATGGAGAAGGGAGCCCACCATTGTCTCACCGGCACTTTGTTATCGCCGCTGACGGCCTGCTTACTGATATACTTTGTACATTACTGTTGTTAAGAACGAGCCTGAGGATCGGGGTTTGAGTCACGTTGGTTACGTAGGGGAGTAAACTGTTCAATGCATTTAATTCTGGAGCTAACTTCTCTTACGTATTTGCTCCAGATGGAAATGCGTTTAGGTTATACTAACTAATTATTGGAGCAAATAAAACTTTGAATTTTATTGCTTTATATATGTGACTGTAACATTTTTAATTCAAAGTTTCATGATGCCTTCTTTTGTTTTGTGTTTTTCTATAGCGACATGGGTGTATTCACTGGTGGGGGAAAATCACAGTACTTATTGTAAAAATGGCTGAATTATTTTATCGTCTACTGTTCAATCAGGTAGAAGCTACGCATAGTTGTCTACGTAAGACGCCTTTTTCAAGGCGTGTAATTTTTTTAGTTGTATATAATTTAATATGTCCAGATTTCGAGAGAAATTTGGGGTAAAAAATATTTGTAAGAAGTTATGTAAGGAACAATCTATAGATTTTTGGTTAAATCATGTTCTGCATTATACGTTGCATGGAACATTAGCTGAAACAGTGGTATAACAGACAAGACAGGAAGGAAAATAAAATAGAATAAAAATAAATAAAAATGGATTAAAAAGTGTGCGGAAAGGAACATTTGCGGTCCATATTAATGCGAAATATACCTAACAACATTTACCTGGAGTAACTAATAGAAACCGTGAAATAACTGTGTCAGGTATAGAATTGAAAAGGGGCCATCTCTCTTTCCATTGCCTGACCTACAAGCCTTTCGCGATTCTGGTTATCTCGGAGCAACGCCCTAATCATACAAGTGTTCCGACTAACATTAGAACATCGAAATGCCGGGCGTGACGCAACATGTCAATGGGGGCGAGATATAGACGGGTCCACAATGCAGTGGCTTGCTGATTTATTCAACTCTCGATAAAGATTTCAGCTGACGTGCTTGAAAGCTCTCTACACGACTCTAATTAGACTTCACTGCCGAACGTGACAGAGTTCGTACCTGTGGCAGGGAGGAGGGCGAAACGCGCCAGTGCATCAGCGTATGAGTATGTTTGTTTGGCCCCACGATGTTTCATTCCTTGCCTCACTTAAATAAGATCTGTATCTAACAAAGACACTTCTAAACTGAGGGATTTTGGGGCCAATTTACGATACTGTTCAAACAGAAATAAAACACAAAAATTAAACAAAGCAAAACTAAGTGTAAGATATTACTTGATATGCCGACACCGACTCCTCTGTCACACTTATGATTTTTTTTGTACTTTACAACGTATATATTAATAAAATATTATAAATTAACTACATAGAGCAGAGTCCTTTACGGGAACTCAAACAAGAAATCCCCTGATTTCCTTTAAAACCAAATGATTAGTATCGTGTTCACGAAAGCCCGCCACAGGTCCCAATTCTTAGCCAGATGAATCCAGTTAAGATCCATTCACTACCGTAACCAAAAACGTATGCCTAGATATTTGAAAGAGTCTATTTCTCCATATTTTCCGATTATAATTCTGTATGTATTTCTCATCTCTCATTCACGCTACGTCCATCGTCTGGAGCCAGTCTGAATTCTTCGTGGACCCAAAGGGACCCTCGCTCTAAGACCATGCTGGGATATTATATTCAAATAGAATTTTCATTATATTTTCGCATCGTATTCAACACAGGAAAGCTAACTGGCTGGGACATGTTATGAGAAGGAATGGATTAATGAGTGATATCATCGAAGGCCAGGTTGAAGGAAAGAGAGGACTAGGAAGAAGATTGATACAGCTAACCGACGACCTTAAACAAGGAAAGAATATGACGTTCCAGGAATTAAAGCGAGAAGCCGAGAATAGGGACAACTGGAGAGCTCTTTTTGGGCAGAGCAATGGACCTGTCGTAAGACAGAACACTTAATAATAAATAATAATAATATTCAACACACCGCAGTTCAAAACCGTTGTTAAACAACCCAGGAACCGAAAAATCACACACAGCGCAAAGGATTGAAGTATTATCCTACTTATAACGAAAGAACACCCCTGTCCCCGTCCAAGGGTGCCCCCTCCCCCCCTCATACGCGGGTGCACTGCGTTACAAGTGCAAGGCAGGAACTTGATCTCGAGGGTTCGCTTTGTTAGACCTCACGTCCCATCTTTCAACCCAGACACTCGAAGCCGTTCTAGAGGGCATCTTCATTGTTATTATTAATGTGAGAGCGCTTTGGACGGAGTGGGAACTGCTCAAGAAGCCCGAACACTTCATATTACAACCTTTGTTGTTTAAAATTCTTGCAAAATGCTGCAAGATTCTATCGGTAGCAGCCAACATGTTTTTCTTCATAGAACTGATGTCAGGATATCTAATACCTAAATGAATATTAAGGTTTAAGTAAAATAACCAAGCGCTTTTCCACAACCCACGAAAAATTTTCTTCTCCTATACTATTTTGTTTTCTCTCCTGGCGTTTACTTTAGACACTGAACGAAAACAAATGATCCGCCATGCACTTGGGACGAAACTTGGCTCATTAGTTAGTAACACGGGGATCTTCAAGCCAATAGGCTATCAATGCAGGAAGAACTACTTTTACTGTGAGTCCTTATTCTATTCTCACGATTTTTAATAGTATCTGACACTTTTAGAAGTCAGGGGGTGATACTATGGTAGACAGATATATCAGAGTTTTATCTATTATAATTCACACAAATATATTAATTCATCTCTGACTCATATATGCATACATATACACACACCACACGTAGGCTAAATATATATTACATTTTTATCGTCTCTAAACGGAATGTAGAACTTTTAACTTGCACCCTTTTATTAAAATTAAAATTAAATTTAACATCTACCAGACTACACAGAGCAACAACCCAGAAGACAGAAATCTTCATACTCATCGCTGTGAAAACCTCAAATCTTACGTATCAAAGAATATTTTAAACATAAGTTGTAGAGCGTAAACATGTTATGACTTCAACATGGAGTCTGTTTCTATACGAGTAACTTTTTAAGGCTTGCGTAAAATAGTGATTATATTGAACTGAAGCGAAGTGCAGTTAATTTTCCGAAGAATGTTAAATGTAGACCTTTGATATGAAGTTTAACACGAAATTCTTTTACCAATTTCGGTTATGATTCATGAGGCTAGACGGTCGTAAACGTGCTATTAATTTTATTCGCTTTGTGTGAAGAACGAATAGGAGGGGAGAATGAAGTGGCTATAGCCCAGGGACTTAATACCCGCGTCAATGAGGTATTTAATTTTTTTGTGGCTCTGCCTAATGAAGCAGAAAGATGAACAGATAAACAGTTATCCCAAAGAGTTGAAATCGTACAGTGACATCTGTGACAAAAGAGGGAGGATTGAACAGGAGAAAAAGGAAGAATTCAGTCCAACTTCCGGACGACATGGAGCATGGAGTATCTTACATTTTGCATGCGGAGGATACGAAGCTGTGGCACTGGATCCATAATAAAATAGTATAACGTAATGTACGAGTCGACCAGATGAGACGTTTTTATGCCAATCCTCCCACCGTTGGTCCACACTCCCTCCAGGGGTGTACACATCTGGATGCTGAATACGTGGTGTGGCTCCTAATAGAAGCACAGCATGTTGTATGGGCTCATGTGAGAGGCATATATTACACTGCAGAATCTACACAAGGAATGAAAGATTAAAAGCCAAATCATTCTGATAAGAAATAAAGAGGGATTTTTCTCTTGCAAAATATTTTTTTCATTAGGTAGTTTTAAAACCATTTGAACGTCATTCACGAGAAACGCAGTAAATTGTAGAATTACTTTCTTAAATTGCAACCCATCAGTGATAAAGTGATCCGTTTTTTAATGACTCATTCAATAACTTGTAACGAATCAGTTTATACTATCTAATTTCCATGTTGAAAACCCAATCCCTATTCTGAGCTCCAAGTCCGAGATCTTGTGTAAAATTCTGCAAAAGTCTTCTTTTCTTTACAGTGAGGAATTATCAGTCTCCAACATTAGTGCTCAAGCTGGATCACCACCCCTTGTCGGCTGTCTACTGTTCATTAAATAGTATATATGATGCTAACCCACGTATTGTGGTTCCGGAAATAAAATTCCTGTCGCCTACTTATTGCACCTGCTAAGCTGTTCTGTCTCTCAAGTTTTATTTTCTATGTTTAAAGAATTGTTTTACAAGTTCTGATTTGGAATAAATCAGTCACACAGTCCCCCTCCACGCTAAAACACGATTAATGTAAGTTAACCAAGTGTTGGTGGCGGACAACTTGCTTACGTAAGGTAACATCATGGACGCTTCGGAATCAACATTACACGTGGCGGTATGAACCATGTCGGCCGAATTCTTACTCTGTTGGTTCTCGGAGCCATTTCCCGCCTCGTGTTTACATCTGTTTATAGGAACATAAAAAGACCAAAATGACACTCCAAATAAGTAATAATGTGTCCTACGTTTTACAGCAATGTTACTCCGGACATTCAAGACGATGTACCTTCAGACAGAACTCGAATAGAGAGCACGCGGTCGTGCCTAACTGTAACGTATCGCCTGTTATGGAAATGCAACAACAATCGACCATGAATCTAGATAAAGGCAACGGATTGTTTCATTTTATTATTTCATTGTTTTTAAAATACGTGTTTCTATAGTGAAGGAAGCATGTAGTATTAACCTTGTGAATGTTATATGGACAAAATTCGAGAATGTAATCTCCTGAATTAACCACTTAGAGCCATCTTATGCAAAAATATACTTGGCTCATTATTTAAATTTAAATTCGAATTGAATATTTGAATCTTAATTGTTCAGAAATAAAAAGTAACGGTTTTTTTTACTCTGTACACTAACGACCACTTAACGTGTAATAAGTGACGGACATGTCAAATACGAAGAATGGATCTGATTGACGTAGACACCAAAATTTTCACATAATAGTGTCTGCCACCTAGATCAAACAAAAAACACAACAATATAAATACGTAGCAGGATTTGAGGTTTTCACGGCGGTCAGTCCGAAGATAGTTGTCTTCTGGGTTGTAGCCTCCATCATCAGGACGATCATCGCCCTGATGACGCAGGCAGCAAGGACCTCTAAAACACTGGTAAACTTATACCAGACTGCATGGCGTTACAACCCAGAAGGCAGCCATTCGTATATAAATACAAGCACCTAACTATTGCTAATTTGCATTTCTTGCACCTATATAATCTGATTCGCGGATTAAACATAAACACTAGATTAAATGAAATCCAATATGTATTTCGGAGATAAAACATGCTGATAGACACAGACACAAGATGGCCTCCGTATTATACCCTCATTTTACGCGACTCCAGCAAAAAATTGCATAAAATGTAATGCAGTTCATATTCCACTGTTCAGTTGTAACAAGCAGAATTACTGAGGCTAAGAAAATGTCACTCGGATTCCAGCTTAATCCAAATCCATCCTGTAACACGCGCTTGTTCAGCACTGAAGAACCCGCCATATTTCTGACAACCAACCAAGCCGGAACAGAGTTTGTGCAGGGAGAAAACTGAATAAATAGAGAACATTCCCACGTTTTAATTCCCCCGGAGGCTTGCCTAATCCCCATGGTTCTTCCCAACCGGAAGGAAAGATCATGCAATTGTTTAGTGACGCCCTGGTTCACATTAGAAACGAAATAGCAATATGGCAGTGTCTTACGTTGTTCAATGTTGTGCTATAAAAGTGATCTATGTTTCCTGTACAATGCGCAATAGACCTGGCAGTTTGATGTGCACATGTTTTGCATAAAATGTTTGAAGAGAGTACATCATGCAGACGAGCCAGTGCATCAGCATCATCTCGTGAATTATTCGCTCGAGTTCGATTAAATTTGGCATCGAAGGTCTACATTAAACATTATCCACCGAATTTAAGTTCGGTGATTCCTGTTCAATTAGGCTATGTATTCCTGGTACGAAGTGAACTTTATCGAATTTATATAAAAAAGATCCTATGTTGCAAAATCAGCAAATCGCCTAACAGACAGACCTATCAAAGTCAAAAATGTAAGAACAATAATATTTCCTGACTCCGCGACTCCACTATAAATCTAACGAACATTTATTTAATTGAATAAAATTTTTCTTGGATATTATCCATCGTCTATTAAATATAAAACGTAAAACGACGTTTCGGAGATGGGACTCTATCTCCGTCTTCAGGTTCCTACTCAGTTGGGCCCACTAGATAGAGCTAATCCCATCTCCGAAACGTCGTTTTACGTTTTATATTCACTAGACGATGGATAATATCCAAGAAAAATTTTATTCAATTGACTCTTCACCATCGTCAAGAAGTTTTAGATTTGATAAACATTTATTTACTTCTTTATTTGTTTATTTATTTAACGAAACTGTCAGTAGATCGCGCGCAACGTCAAATGATTGATGATTAGTAAACTGTAAAGGACATGGAAGGAATCGGCCATGCAAATGAACTATCTGCAGAGACTGAGAAAAACTACGAAAAACCTCAGCCGGCCTGCAACGCAGTACACACAACCTAACAACAAATCTGGGAAACGTGTGGTTGGGTGAGATTTCAGGTTTCACGGCGGCGAATATAAAGATGATTGGAATATCATCATTCAAGAGACAAAATGACGCAATATCCCAGAAGGCTTTTAATTCTATAAGGGTACTCCATTGGAGTAGTCACAGCATACAGAGACAGCAGTTTGTGGAAAACAGGCGTCATGAGTTCTTCAAAAGAACTTGTTCTCGTCTCAGGATAGAGCATTTATGGGAACGGTCTTTGACAGTTCTAATTACTAAGCTGTCAGAAGCGATCAGCTCGTGTCGCCTGAGATGTAGGCAAACAGATGGACATAATGACCCTGTGTTCTGACGAATACTGAGTGTAAAAGTAAAATCTGACATAAGTCACCGCCCGAACTGTTTATTTGCGTGACGTGTGTGGGTGTGGTTGTTGCGTGTTTATGGTCGATAGATGGCAGCTTTACACGAGGTTCCTTCCACCAAGTAAAGAAGATCGCTTTCAGAAGCTTTTAGAGCAACCCTTAAAAGAACATCTGACTGTTGCATAGTCTGGCGATACCGAAAACTTCGCTGCAATTCAGCAAACGACCTGCATCCTAGCTGATGCCTTCACCTTCACTCATAATTTCAGAAGCGGAGAGAATCGATGAGCTTAAACTACAGTGATAAAAGATTTACTAGTTCATTTTAGAAAAGATGTCTCCTTCTTGGCAACTGATTTAGTTACATGTTTGGAGAAACAAAAGAAAAAGAAAATCTTCTACGACACACGAACTTTGAGGCTAATTTAAGGATGCACTAGTTTTCCTCAACTGCGACACAGTCTATGAAAAATTATGAGCGATACATGAAGAATGCATCGTGGAAAATTTTAAGGTAAACCTACTATAACAGAAGTCATGTAAGCACTCTCAAACAGAACGAAATTAGTGTCAATTATGTTTTATGTCCTACAAATAAAATTCACTTTTATAGGAAAACCCGTGTTTTCGAACAAAATTCTAAATTACACGTATTCCCTTCACACCTTCATCCCCATTATAATCACCTCTAAAAGCTACCTAATGATAGCAGCACTTTTAAAATAGAACATGCTCTCATCTGTCCCCATTACCGAGAACTATACATAGCCTACAGATTTGTTTCCCCACAGATCATGGATGATGTGTAAAGTTTAAAATAGTTTTACGTAATTGTGTGATCACAGTCAAGGACGCTTCAGTCTGTATCCACTAGATATCACTAGGGTCGATATTGACCCTCCACGTTTTCCTCCGACTTTAAATTGTGTTACTGTCAACTTCTCAGGGTCGTTACGAACCTTCTAACTATTTTACTTTTGTTGAAGTAATTCCACCTCACACAAACTGTTTTAAAAGTTTCGTCATGCCTCTTCCCCCCTCCCCCACTCAACCCTGCTTATATTACTCTCTTACATCCTACATAATCTCTTAACTTTAAGAGGATTCGTGGCTTTATACAATACGGACAGTGGTTTCTTAGCAATTTCTGACTTGCGAAACTAAAGACTTTTGTCGGCAATTAGATTAAGAATCTAATATCGCAAGACTTCCGCATACAAATTTTATAAGCCCTTTTAAATGCTATAAAAGAGATACATGCTTAAGAAACGCCTGCAGTTTCTTCCCTGAACAACTTCTGAATTTCAAAATATGTGACAATAAATTTTACTTTATTACTATGACAAATCAAGCCAACAATCTGTTGCTATTTACTAGCTTAAATAATTACAAGTTACAGTCGTAATACAGCGAATAAATAAAATTAAACCAACTCCATGAAGTAGAATTATTCTTGAAAAGCTAACAGTCACTCAGCTGATCAAGAAATTTCCCTAATTTTATGGAACCCGAAATTCCATTACTATATCTTCAACAGTCAGCCACTGGTCTCTAGCCTAAGCCAGCTGAATCAAGTTCACACTCTAAGATCATCCTTTTTAATATTATATTCCAACCTACGCTTATGCTTTCCATATCGCAAATCGACCTCAGTGTCAATATATGTCAGCCAATGGGCCATCACAATGGAAAAAGTCCAGAACAGACACTTCTAGAAGGCAGTGCTCTGACATCTGAAGAAATCCCTATAAGAAGAAATGTTATATTAAGAACGAAACAATACGCGCGCTGTGATTTTGTTGTTGTCAGTCTTTTGCTTCAGGAAAATTCTCAGGATTTAATAAATATTTTGATTACTTTCTTCTTTAGTTTATGATTGGCTAATAATAAGAAGCTTAAATTTGATATTTTTATTAGAATGGATCTATTAATTTATATATAAGCATGTGATAAAGATTTCTGTCTTTCGAATTCTAACTCGCAAACCAAGAGACCACATGCTTTCGGCTTAAAATCTCCGTAACTAAAGTTTACACTCCAAATGGATTCGAAAAAATTAGCGTAAGATATGCATGAGGACTATCAGAATGCTAGTGTTTTAAAAAGTCGAATACAAGTCAAACAAAAGAAAATATATCTCACTGAACTCGTTTGTCTACGATTCGCAAGCATATAATTTATGG